CTGGGCTACAACCTGGCATCAGTAGGACGACACTGGGCTACAACCTGGTATCAATGAGACGACACTGGGCTACAACCTGGTATCAATGAGACGACACTGGGCTACAACCTGGTATCAATGAGACGACACTGGGCTACAACCTGGTATCAATGAGACGACACTGGGCTACAACCTGGTATCAATGAGACGACACTGGGCAACAACCTGGTATCAATGAGACGACACTGGGCTACAACCTGGTATCAATGAGACGACACTGGGCTACAACCTGGTATCAATGAGACGACACTGGGCTACAACCTGGTATCAATGAGACGACACTGGGCTACAACCTGGTATCAATGAGACGACACTGGGCTACAACCTGGTATCAATGAGACGACACTGGGCAACAACCTGGTATCAATGAGACGACACTGGGCTACAACCTGGTATCAATGAGACGACACTGGGCTACAACCTGGCAACAGTGAGACGACACTGGGCTACAACCTGGTATCAATGAGACGACACTGGGCTACAACCTGGCATCAGTGAGACGACACTGGGCTACAACCTGGCATCAGTGAGACGACACTGGGCTACAACCTGGCATCAGTGAGACGACACTGGGCTACAACCTGGTATCAATGAGACGACAAAAGAAAGAAGAAGAAAGCCTTTTTCTACGCCTTTAGTCGCACTGGGCAAATAGAGGTATACCTATACTTTAAGACCAATCGATACTGTAAGTGATGTCATCAACATCACGCCCGCCCACCTGAACTTCCCAGGACTTTACCTGGCACCTATTTATGGCTGGATTGACCTGAAAGTCAAGGTCATTATTGGGGAAAAAACTCCTGGCTTCCTTAGGACCTGAACCTACGACCTTCGGAGCCACAGGTGAACGTCTAGCCACTACACCACGGTTGCTCCCCCAGCTGCACAGGACTTCACCTCTAGCGGGTAAAAATCTAGACGTATATATACATGACTGTGTCTGTGGTTTAGGCGCTGCGAATGCGCTTTGTAATGCTGGGGTGCTGAGTTCGATCCAGGCTGCGGGCTTTGCGACTCGCGTTGGTTTCGACAGTGCTATTTAGAAGCTGACCGTCCAGAAAGCAATGGCAAACTACTGGACGTAAATTTACCTAGAAAAACCACAGCAGCCAAAAAAAACTGGGGTTGGTTATACAATGTCCTGTAAAGGATACGCAACTAACTAATATATACGTACTTCTGGCATATTTAACTATCCTAATTATAGTTTCAATCTGATCTGTTTCAGTTTCGAAAGAAAAAAAAAACCTTGAAAAACAAGAACAGCAGCAAGAACAAACAAACAAGAACGATCGTAGCAAGATTGATTCTTTGCAAGGAGACGTGCAACCAAGGGCAGACAACCGCCCTGGCGTTCTCGATCAGTGTGTGAAGGAAGGGAGATTACCGCGTAAATATAGAGCATTCATTCACAGTGCTAAATGATGGCATTTGATTTATTATATGTTTATCATTGTCATGGTGTGTCATTATATGTCACATAAGGCTGACAGTCTGTTTCTCCATTCTGTCGTATTCTATTATGTTTGTTGAGTTGACCTGAGTCAAGAACTGACATCACAGCACAAGTGGCACTCCATCCCCATCTTCAGCAGCCAGCATAGAGTTCCAATACTAATGGTACCGTCACAATCTGGTTATATGTCCACCTTGCCTTTCCTATAAGCACAGTGAGCCGGCCAGATCATCTGGTTACACTCTCCAAGCCATAACAATCCAGTTTCTCTTCCGACTTCGTTACTTGTTCCCAAAGGGCCTTGACCACATCTGTTTTGCGTTCACCAGCTGTACACTCTGGTGGAAAGTTCTGGTTGTTCGTCCACTTCTGGACTGCAGTCCTGCTCCAGAACCTGAGTGTTGCGTGAGTTTTACAGATCTGATTCACTTGAATGCAGACTGTTGGTTCCTTGCCTCTCAGGCAGATGCGCTCCGACTTCAAAGAAAGCTCCCCAATTAGTCGACTCTTACGACATGCCTTTGGGGAGGCAGTGGGTTTATTCTTGTTCTCCCCATGATGGGGCCCCGGAACCCACACAGGGATGTCATGTATCAATTGGCAGATCCAGCCAATCTATCTGCCCATTCATTCACAACACCGCCAGCATCCCTGGAGAAAATATCCAAAGTATGCTCACTACCTGTGACCTTTCAAGTGAAGCTTGCCACTCTGCTCGAAGCAATCCTGTCTCTACCTTTCCCAGCCTGCTTTTAGAGTATGTTATAATTATGACACATGTATGCACAACTGTAAGAGACTCTAAATGATGTTTGCATGAACAATTACATCACAAGAAAAGGAGAATAATATTCATATATTAGGAGATGTAAAGAGTCTCTCGTGCGCCCTAGGTTGAGGCTTTGGGTATGAGGAAGGGGTTTGGGTTATTTATCATGTTATTTTAATGGCTGTTAGGTTCCTAACAACTGACATTTTAATTTTGTACATGATCTCTCTCTCTCTTTCTCTCCCTCCTTCCCCCACGCCCCTCCACCTCTCTCGTCCCTACCCACACAATCTTTTCACCAAGCGCAACCAACTTTACCATCTTTCACCCAAGTTCTCCCATCCTTTCATCAAGTACAACCATTCTTCCACGAATTACTACCATGCTCCCACCAAGTACTACCATCTTTCCCCCAAGTGCTCCCATCCTTTCATCAAGTACAACCATTCTTCCACGAATTACTACCATGCTCCCACCAAGTACTACCATCTTTCACCCAAGTTCTCCCATCCTTTCATCAAGTACAACCATTCTTCCATGAATTACTACCATGCTCCCACCAAGTACTACCATCTTTCCACTAACTACTACCACCAATCACTTTCATTATTTTCCAAGTACCACTGGCTTTTCACCAAGTATTATTATCCTTCGCCAAGTTCTAAGAACGTTCCACTAAGTACTATGACATTTCCACCAAGTACTACCATTTTTATGTTGTCCACACTAAAGAAAATTTACCATCAGCCTAAAGAAGATATGCCATTCCTACGCTGGCTAATTGGCCGAAGCTGACTCTATAAATGAAGCCACTTACTTTCGGCAGCCTCATGGTCGATGATCCAAAGAATATTTTTTTGGCCTTGGACATTCCGTTGTGGGTGTTGCTGTTATTGTTGCTGTTGGAGGTGTTGATGTTGAAGAAGTCGAAGCCGCTGGCTACACCATTTCCATTGAAGTCGCCGAAGAATTCTGGGTGTTCTAGCACGTAGTCTGGGTGGTAGAGATTATCTAGTTCCATGCTGCTGGTCTGTGAGGGAAGTTTGCATCGTTAATGTGCGGATATGCTATCAAAGTTGTTACATTAACTTTAAATCTGCAATTATATCAAAATATTGTTACTTGTTACATTACCTATACACACCCCCCCCCCCCCACCACCTACTTACATCAAGATAATCTCAGTTGTAACATTAGCTTTACCGCAGCTATTACATTATCATTATCAGGTGTAACTTTAACATTGCCCCTGCTGTTACATTATCATAAACTGTAGTAACTTTAGCTTTACCCTTCTGTTACATTATTATAAGCTCAGTTGTTAAAATATTATAAGCTCAGTTGTTACATTATCATAAGCTCAGTTGTTACATTATCATAAGCTCAGTTGTTACATTATCATAAGCTCAGTTGTTACATTATCATAAGCTCAGTTGTTACATTAGCTTTACCCTGCTGTTACATTATCATAAGCTCAGTTGTTACATTATCATAAGCTCAGTTGTTACATTATCATAAGCTCAGTTGTTACATTAGCTTTACCCTGCTGTTACATTATCATAAGCTCAGTTGTTACATTATCATAAGCTCAGTTGTTACATTATCATAAGCTCAGTTGTTACATTATCATAAGCTCAGTTGTTACATTATCATAAGCTCAGTTCTTACATTAGCTTTACCCTGCTGTTACATTATCATAAACTCAGTTGTATCATCAGCTTTACACTGCTGTTACATTATCACAAGATCAGTTGTTACATAAGCTTTACCCTGCTGTTACATTATCATAAGCTCAGTTGTTACATTATCATAAGCTCAGTTGTTACATTATCATATGCTCAGTTGTTACATTAGCTTTACCCTGCTGTTACATTATCATAAGCTCAGTTGTTACATTATCATAAGCTCAGTTGTTACATTAGCTTTACCCTGCTGTTACATTATCATAAGCTCAGTTGTTACATTAGCTTTACCCTGCTGTTACATTAGCTTTACCCTGCTGTTACATTATCACAAGTTCAGTTGTTACATTATCATAAGCTCAGTTGTTACATTAGCTTTACCCTGCTGTTACATTAGTTTTACCCTGCTGTTACATTATCACAAGTTCAGTTGTTACATTATCATAAGCTCAGTTGTTACATTAGCTTTACCCTGCTGTTACATTATCATAAGCTCATTTGTTACAATATCATAAGCTCAGTTGTTACATTAGTTTTACCCTGCTGTTACATTATCACAAGTTCAGTTGTTACATTATCATAAGCTCAGTTGTTACATTATCATAACCTCAGCTGTTACATTATCATACGCTGAGTTGTTACATTATCATAAGTTCAGTTGTTACATTATCATAAGTTCAGCTGTTACATTATCATAAGCTCAGTTGTTACATTTGTATCCTGCTGTTACATTATCATAAGCCTCAGTTGTTACATTAGCTTCACCCTGCTGTTACATTATCATAAGCTCAGTTGTTACATTAGCTTTACCCTGCTGTTACATTATCATAAGCTCAGTTGTTACATTAGCTTTACCCTGCTGTGACATTATCATATTCTCAGTAGTAAATTACCTTTATTTCAGTTGTTATACAAGACTAATTTTACTTGTTTCATTAAATGTTACCCAGTTGTTTTATTTCAGTTCTTTCTTAACTGCTTTATTAGCTCTCCAATCTTCCCAGAAATCTACAAAAGAACCTCCCACAAACAACCTAGGAGTCTACAAAAGAATTTCCCACAAACTACCCAGGAGTCTACAAAAGAACATCCCACAAACTACCCAGGAATCTACACAAGAACATCCCACAAACTACCCAGGAATCTACACAAGAACATCCCACAAACTACCCAGGAATTCAACAAAAGAACCTTCTACAAACTACCCAGGAATTCAACAAAAGAACCTCCAACAAACCTGCACAGATACCTAGATAAAACCTATACATCCAACAAGGAACCTACATGAGAACCTCCTACAAACCTTTCTAGCTAAAAGCAATCTACTTAAGAACCTTACACAAACTTATCTAGCTTTAAACCAACCTACCTAAGAACCTTACACAAACCTATCTAGCTATAACCCAACCTTGCTAAACAGATAAACCAGGCAGCACTTTAGCTAGGTTTTTCAATTTATCTATCTGAATCCAACCCTTTAAGACTTTCTATCTATCGATCTTCACATAGTTACCCTTCCATCTATCTAACCCAAGTGCTACTTAAGTTACTAATCTCCTCATTCTTTCCCCACAGTATTGTTTTCAACCTTAATCTGTATTATTTACTACTTGCAAAAGCAACAGATTAAAAAAAAAGAAACCGTTACAAACTATCAGCCAGCTGGCTCAGACTTTAACAAATCAATCCCCAGCAACATCAGGTGTGGTAGGTACACATCAAACAACAAAATTACCAGAGGATCCACAAATTGACTCTCCCGAAGACGAATCTGGCTGTCCTTATCGTGTCAGGATTGAAGAGTTTGAACTGTCCTTAGAAACAGGCAAATAAAGCACTCGAGTTGCTACTTTGAAATCTTATCTAGGTCAGTTCGTGCAGGCAATGTAAACAGAAATGGCGACAAAGCAGTTTCTCTCAGATATCGTCCTTGTCAGTTTGTGAACAAAGTTCTAAAACACTGCTGCCGTTTTTACCAAACAGAATACACAAACAGCAAAATATAACTTCGAAAGCTACACAAACTATCTAACCGCAAAGACTTGACGCTAAACGAGGAAAAACGGTAGCGCTCTTAAACTTATATATACAACGACCCGGCCATTCATAACTTGCTAACTTTTAGTCCAAACTCGAATTAGAGTGCGCAGGATTTCAAGGTTCACAAATTAAGAGAGGTTCAAAGAAGCGTCCTTCTCTGAAGTCTTTACCAGAAATGAACTGAACGTAGGTACATATCTGCCCGGGATCGTAAAGTTCAAATAGCCAACAGGTCGCAACTGGAGCACGGTGTAATGTCCGCACACAACCGCTAGCGTAAAGTGCCGTTATAAAAAAAAAAATCTATGAATGAAAATTGACCGCTGTGAGACGGCACGCTATCTTAGCGTCTGTTGAGCTGACAGGCTCCAAGGTTTGGCGGGGTCCAAATCTTTACTGCTATACACAAGAGTTTGATTATCATCGTCAGTGTTCGTCATTAACAACGAGGTTTAGTACGTTGTGTTGGGGTTTACAGCTGGGCTGCGATATATGGTCGAGGCAGCTTTTAGCTAGAAAACAGAACCTTATATCTCCCTCGACACCCACAGCGGTAAAAGAGGAAGTGAAGAAGAAGAAAAATCCGTTTTTTTTTTAAAAAACACTTAATTTAGGAGTTTTAGGAGCAGGGGTCTATTTCCCCACCAAAATGGGACACCAGAACTCAAACATGGAGGTTATATAAATATTGGTAGTAAACAATACAACAATTGGTTTCGCTGAGCAGAGTACAGAAAACATGTTTGTGCAGACTACAACACTTTCATAGAACGTTTTGGCCTGCTCAAGTATCTACGGAATAGTTTTGAAAAAGTGGAAGTTTTGATCTATTAAAAGGTCCTGCTCACGTTTCTCGGCCCATTTACACACTGTCTGAGCCTTTATTCATACTTTCTCAGACTGTTCTACGTCGAAGGGGTGTCATGTTGTCTTGTCTCCAATTACGTCAGCGCGGATGTCGCGTGTTCTATACTACACACGACACGGCTTTCAACGACCCCATATTGTCTAGAACTGAACCCATCCCCCCAACCTGCGCCTAGGTCACACAAGACACTCTTTAAAGAAAGCAGTACAACGTGACACCCCTCTGACCTAGATCAAACTGGGCCGAGAAACGTGAACAGACCCTTTAAAAATATCTATAGAAATCGTACAAAGGCGTTTTTAGTTTTCTAACGAATACAGCGACTTCCGAATTCGACTCCACTGGTCTGCCAAAGATTTGAACCCTGGACAATTGTCAAGCATGCCAAAACAATATCTTCAGGCCTTAGAGATGTGGTTTTACAAAAGCATGCTCACAATGTCTTGGGCAGCCAAAATGAGTAAATTAGATGCTTTGAAAGATGCGAGGGCTCCAAAACAACTTTATCACAAAAATCAGAAAGAGACAGTGTAAGAATGTTCTGGCAGTATATTATGTATGAGAAGAGAGAAACTCGACAGATTTTTGGAAAAAGAAACAGAGGAAGACAAAGCCAGAAGATTTTTGTACAGCCTTTTATCATGACATGGAGAAGTGTCAACATATGAGCTGATCAATGCTTTTGGAGATGGCAGATTGTGGAGAGGCATGATCGTACACGCCAGGCGGCAATGCAATTAGCGATGACGGTGATCGTGAAGAAGATGTTGTTAATGAAGATGATGAGGACGAATCAGCCCCAAAAAAATTGCGTTTAATCTGAATTACACAAATTCTTTCTAGCAGAAAGTTATAATTTCTTCCAAGAAAAACTAGACGACTCTTGTTGCCTCCTGGCGATTCTAATGAATCTATACATAAGGGAGCTGTTTCACCTGCTACACTGTACATGTAAACGTCTTACATAAGGGAGCTGTTTCACCTGCTACACTGTACATGTAAACACGTCTTACATAAGGGAGCTGTTTCACCTGCTACACTGTACATGTAAATGTCTTTCCGGGCCGTGCTAGTTCTCTAGACTACTTTTTTTTTTCAGGGGTAATTTATTGGGACGGCATTCGTTAGGAACTGTAAATGAATTATATGGGTATTGTCGTGGATTCGTGGTAATAAAATCATTGGCCGTGTTTTGCGGAGAGGACAAATCAAAAAAAGGAATAAGAATGAAAGAAGTAATGACTGTATAAAGGATGTGGGCTAATCGTCTGAGAAGAAACAGACTTAACACAAATTTTGGTAACAACGGTTCTGAAATCTCATGCTATCATTGTAGAAGACTTATCTTCAAATTTCTTAACAATTTGCAGTGGCCCTCAAAACGCGGTTCTGCTCCAGAAAAGCAACGGTACCCTCCTTGTCGCTTGCTAATTATGACAGCGGAAATAAACAACGCAGAAAGCTTTGCGAATATTATAGTACCGTGACACCCCTCTAACATAGATTAGCCGGAGCAAGCATAAATGAAAGGTCAGCTACTGTGTAGGTGGGCCTGAATTCGTAACTAGAACCAATGTCTAATTGGAAAAAAAATTCACACACAACGAAGCCTATCCATATTTCAATTACATGTAGGTTTTCATTTTTTCATCCATGATGAACAAGCAGTGACACATATTACCTAAAATAGCACTGTCGTATTGCAGTAGAGTTACAAACACACTTTTTTACACAGGTACACATGCAAATAGTAAAACGAAAAAAAAAAGTGTTTAAAAAATCTCGACCTGCCATTGGATTATTTCAAGTTGGGGGCGTGGTTACAGGGTAGCATGGAGGATGAAGGGTGTTTATTCAAACATGTAATCCTCTCTCTCTCTCTCTCTCTCTCTCTCTCTCTCTCTCTCTCGCTCTCTCTCTGTGTGTGTGTCTCTCTCTCGTGCAAATTCCCTCCCTCCCCTCTCCTGACTGACTGTCACTATTAGTTTAAAGGTTAAGACCGTCGTTTGCATAGAGAATAACTATTTGTTTTGTCCACCGCCCGGCTCCCAACATCAAGCACCACGCTCGGGGTCTTCAAATCAAGCCAGCTAGGAACCGAGCACAAGTCAAGAGGTATACAGAAGTTACAACCGCGATATCGCCAGTGTGCCCGTGTACAGCTGAAGCGGCCTTCTGCTCGATAAGCCATGTTGTTTCCATTTACCGCAGAAGCTAGCGTAATCGACGTAACTCTCTCTCTGTCTCTCTCTCTCTCTCTCTCTCTCTCTCTCTCTCTCTCTCTCTCTCTCTCTCTCTCTCTCTCTCTCCCTCTCTCTCTCTCTCTCTCTCTCTCTCTCTCTCTCTCTCTCTCTCTCTCCCCTACACTTATCTCAACTAAGTGTACTAGATTAATTCGAATGCGCTGCTGCGAAACAACAGAGATACGTTTCTTGTTTCTTTAGCTGACTTTGTACGCTTAACTATTTCAGTACCAAACAACGCACAATATATTGCTTTGCCATGCCATGTTTGTTTGTTTTTAGTATCCAGAGGCCATGAGCTGTTAACCCTTTGGCTCGGTATTATGGATATCGCAACCTTTCGGCTTTGATTACATTGTAAATACCGTAAATCTGGTAAAAATGTGGCTTTCCTGCCTACCCCCAGGAGTGAACCCGGATCACAAGGAGTTCGTCACCCGGACACCGCGCAATCCGGTTTAGCGAACTACGCTAGAGAGCCGGGCTGCCATGCCATAAACTGCTGTTCATCCTCCTTCTCCACCACCTTCGTAAACTTCTTCTTTTCTTCTGTAGTCCCCTGTTCCTTCTTGTTGTCTTTCTTCTTGTCTCGCTCATTATCATAGTACAGAGTCACAGTATACACGATAAAGGTAGTTTTATAGCTGGTACATTTCACGTTTCCCGGCCCAGCTACACACTTTCTTAGTCTGATCTAGTGCCACATTGTATTTTTTTTTTTTTGGTACTTAATTTAAAACTTACCCCTGACGTCAAGACAACGTCACGGGAGACATTCCCAATAAATTCTAGGGTGTTCAGGTTGTAGTTTCTAGCGATTTATCTACAGCCAAGTTTAGGGTTAGGGTTAGGAGTAGGGTTAGGATTAGAAGACACTAGATGAACAATCAAACAAAAAAAAACACACAACAGCACACTTGCACCCCTTTAAATAATGGACTGTCAGGTCCGCTGTGGATTTCCCACGGGGATTTCGTGTTTGGGGTACGTTATAAATTAAGAACCGCTTTTTTTCGAAAAGAGTCTCTCGTGCAATATAGGTGTGAAATGTTGGTACATGTTTTTTAGTTCATCGGGAAATCGGAGAG